ATGCATTGTCAAGCCACTAACTCTGCTATGGGAGCCAAGCCCTGTAATTGACTAAGGGCATTGTTACTTAATTGACGCCTGTTCTCTTTAAAACATTGTAACTTTACTCAGCACTCGGAGAATGTTTTAAGCAAAACCATCCAGAAACTTTCGTAACTACAACTTTTATTATTATACAAAATACTGTACGAATGTAGGAGAGAGTGCTTGGACGATGAGTGAATGGTTCTGAGAGGTGCCAGCCTGAGAATGCAGCAACAAAGGGCTGAAGAAGGCGTCAGGTGCCAGTGCAACCAAAAGGTGTCAAGTGGAGAAAAGCAAGTACTGGAGGTCCACCCCATGAGATCACTGACGAGCACCTGGCAGCCACCCTGGAGACATCAGCATGACGCAGCAATTCCCATAGACTGGCATAGGAAGAAATTCCTATAAGAACTGGACTAAAAAACTATGGAGTCAGAGTCCAAGGTTCTGCTGCCAGCCCACCAGGAGCTTCAGATGTGCATCTGATCAGGACTTCGCTCCCCACTCCCATCACTTGTGTACAGAATACCTGGCCAGTGTTCTGGCACAAGCAACTTCCAGGCTGGTAACTATACACAGAACTTGAATGAATGGTTATATATATGTGTGTGTGTGTGTATATATATATATAAAAGTGTATAAGGGTTAAGTAGTGTTAGGAATAAGTAGTTAAACAATGTTGTTTGCTTCTATCTTTTCTTTATTTTTTTATCATCATCTTTACAATAAATGTGGCTTTTTGCCTTATCCCCCTCATAAGATCCTGCTTGATTTTATTTGCTACAACAACTGCCCTGACACCATCACCCCGGTGTGGCCCAGACCGTCCCCCTGCGCCCAGGCAGGGGCTGCAGGGGCAGAACCGGTTCCCTGAAACTGTCGCCCCCAGGCAGAGCTGGTTAGAGGCAGGAACATCATCTTTACAATAAATGTGGCTTTTTGCCTTATCCCCCTCATAAGATCCTGCTTGATTTTATTTGCTACAACAACTGCCCTGACACCATCACCCCGGTGTGGCCCAGACCGTCCCCCTGCGCCCAGGCAGGGGCTGCAGGGGCAGAACCGGTTCCCTGAAACTGTCGCCCCCAGGCAGAGCTGGTTAGAGGCAGGAAGAGGAAATGCTGCCACTGCGTCGCGACCCCCCCCCCCCCCCCGCGCGACCACCACCGCCCGCGCCAACT